TTCTATTTAGCTCAAACCAGGACAGTGTTCAGGGAACTTACATGTTGATAAAAGAAAACAGATTAAACAGGAAAAATAAAATTACATTTAAAAAAAAATTAAAAGAAAAATAAAGATTATAAAATCACAAAAAATATTGGGAGAGACTCAAGGGCAAGCATAATGCTTGAAATTTCATCTTGTTTATTTCAGCGAGCTTGATTTTGACTGGATAGTGTTCCTCTGATTTGAAATGTTTTGTGATGCTCTCCTCAATTCAGCTATAACTCCCCTTTGTGTTTCCAAAGATATGAAATAATGAATTTCAAGAAAATGGGGAAGGACTACTTTGATTACATCAATGTTGGCAGCTGGGACAATGGCGAGCTGAAAATGGATGACGACGAAATATGGTCAGAGAAAAATAATATCATCAGATCTGTGTGCAGTGAACCCTGCGAAAAAGGCCAGATAAAGGTAAATATTTTCTCCATTTACTTCGTTCTTGTAGAATGCATAGCCTTGAATTTTGAAAGCAAGTTTTCCTTGACTCTTACATGGAGACAGTATCCCACACCTTCATTAAAATGTACAAACTTCTGTATTTAGTTTTTACTCATATCGTAGTCATCTCACTATTTTTTGAAGTTGCCATTTTCTTGTACTTCTTTATCTATGAACTGCTGACTTTTTTATACTTATATTCCAAATGCTTTAGAACAGGTATTATTTGAGGCTTTTTTGCTGTACATTTTTACATCATCTGATTCAGTGGATTGCACATCCCTGACTGGGACTTGTCAGTGCAATTGCAGGTAAATTCTAAATAACAATTGCTACTAATTCAGTGTTAGACAGAGACACCTAAACTGGAACATTATTGCTCAGACCTGTAGTACCATCATAGTATCAGTCTGTAGTATCATCACAGAAAATCAGTAACTACTGCTACTTAGAACTTCAGAAAATATAAGTAACTTCTTTTTTTAATTATGCCTGTTTTATTGTTTATTATTTTCCCAGGTTTTTGATTTTTTCTTCCTCCCTTTTCATGTTGCAGTGAGTAAGGAGGGTAGATGAATCTGTCATATGTTAATTGCACTCTGTTATCCTTGAGCATGCCATGACACCCACTGCTGAGCACTTAAAATATTTCAAGTCTTTATCATGCTTTTCAGCCATTTATATAAAAACCTGTGGACTGAGGGGATAGGCACGGACAACAGAGTGGCTCAGATGGAAAAAAATGCATCCGTCTTCAGTGTAGGCATATACAGTTATATCAGGTTTCTGAACTTTATATGCAATGGAAATAATATATTGACAGTTAAGATAAATGTTGGTGTAGAAATACATCTTTATCTTCACTGATGGTAAAAGGCACCCAGCCAGAACAGTTGCTTCAGATAAGCACATAACCTTCTGCAGATGCATTAGGGAAAGTGGGATGGATTACTCCCACAGTAACTATACAGGGGGCTGATGTTAGCCTGCTCCAGCCACAAATTCACATATATGAGAGGATGGAGACGGCCAGACAGATTATAACTTCAGAACTGGGTAGCTCTGAGTTCTTTTATGGTCTGTTGCCACAACACTGGTGATGAGAAGGTGAATCTTGTGGTCTTCATTAACACCGTTAATGCCCATGCTCTCAAGGATTCTCCCAAGAGGATTCTTCACTATGAAGCCAATTCATCCCACATGTAGACTAATGCTTGAAGTCCAGTGTCTGAAATGTTCTTTATGCTCCTTGTTAGGTTGTTGATTATAGATCTCTAGGTTTACTTCACAGTCCTTTATCTTCATCATCTTCACAGATGATAGGGAGAGCTTGACCATGCCAAGCTCTGTGGTGTTTTTCCTGCAGAATCCTGTGGGACTGAGTTATTTGAAACATTCAGTTTAATGATACCCAACACTCAGAAACATTTGGTACATCCATTAAAAGGACTTGATAAAATCCAAACACAACCCAACTCTATGTATTTGAAATAGTACAGACATGATTATTTAATAAATACAGGTTAAGAGAATTGCCCAGATGACAAGGGACTGGGAAAATAATTGTTGTTGTAAAGAGAAGTATTTTTGTTAAAAGGGACACAAAAGGTTCTTTTACATTTAAGTGATACAACAAATGTTCACAAAATGAAAAATAAAAGGATTAATAAATAGCTGACTGGACAATTAAATTAAAAAATGTCTGGCCTGATTCTGAGTAGTGGAGAACAATTTTTATTTCTACAGAAGGATATATAATCCTTCTCTGGATTACCCCCCAGTTAGTGCTGGGTAAGAAATAATCAGTGTACCAACTTTCTGACAGATTGTTCAATTTCCAATTACTTTATGGAAGACTCTGATTTGCTGAAAAGTTTAACAGAAAACTGTAAATGAATTGTTTTGATAAAAAGTTTAAGTGTTTTGATCATAACATATGGTTTCTATTTTGCCTTTTCATTTTCTTGAGTATTTTATACGTTGCAAAATTATGGATTTTTGTAATGGATCAAGTTTGCCAAAATATGTGTCTAAAAATTAGTCCAAGCTTTCTAAGAATTGATTTTCCCAGACACAAGAAAATATGTCATTTGTACAGATTTTCATTCTAGTTCAAAATGAATGAAATCTCAAGATGTGAATTCTTCCAGAGGACAGATATTCTGCTTTGCAAGTCGCTCTAGTCTCAAGACTTGCAGAGCAAATAATTTATGCTCCCATGGCCTTTCTGCCACTTTAGCTATTCAGATGTGGCTTTTTTTCTTTTCATACTCTACAAATAAAACAAAACAGAACAAAACAAATTTGAAGTTTTCAATTCCCATACTGCTGATGAAAGATATAATTCACACTTTTTTTCACTGCAGCATTGCAAAGAGCAATCCAGCTCTTTCTGATTTCACTCCTTTGCATTTAATTTATAAAAATTACAATAGATATTTGGTTTTGAAACCACCTTCTAAATTCATCATTGCAAAGATACATAAGTCAACCTGCTTTCCATGCTATAATTGAGAATATTTGTTTATAAATAGTTGGAAAGAGCAGAGAGACTGGGAATACTTTATTTCAAAAGAAAGACATATTGATAAGAAGCACAGATGCTTTCAGCACCCAGAGATGATAAATAAGGATCTTGAAAAATCTGCATCTCAATCATGAGCATGCAATAACATTTGGCAGTAAATTATAAAATGGGAAATCAGGTCAGATGTTAAAATGGATAAAGAGAACATTCTCACTGTTAAATGTTAATTAGACGTGGTAATTAAATAATTCTCGAAAAGACGTGTTTGGTTTGATGTCTGGAAAAAATCAGTTTTAATAAATCACTCACAACTGGATGAAAAATAAGCACCCAAAAATCTTTGGGTAATGAACCATTAGGGTATAACATGGTTGATATGATTCCCTGTATGGAGCTCAGTGGAGTGAATTATGCCTTGAGTATCATGCATTGGCCTCTGCAGGAACATTGCCATCTATGAAATTTCAAGTTTTGATAATTCGAAGAGGGAAACATCTGTCTTATCGTCATTCTGTACCTCCACTTATACTTCTGTGGGGTTGATGGTTTCTTTCTTCTGTACATACATGACAGGAGAACTGAGAACTTGAGTAATATTTTGTATAAGCCAACATATAATGCAAAGGAGCTCCCTTTAAAATAAAATCTATAAGAACCCAACTTTATTAAAAAAAAAAGAAGACATTAAAAAAATAAAGTAACAACTGGGGTAGCATGAATGCACATTTATGCTGCTAAACCAGATGTCAATTTTTGTCTCAGGTGATCCGTAAAGGAGAAGTGAGTTGCTGTTGGACCTGCACTCCTTGTAAAGAGAATGAATATGTATCTGACGAATACACATGCAAAGCCTGCCAGCTCGGCTCCTGGCCCAACGAAGAGCTCACAGGTAAATAAGTTGTGGCTGTACTTATACTGTCAATGAAAATTGTCATCTGCTGACCTGAAGAAACAAATGCCAGATATAAGTGAATATAAGGACTGTTTCAGTCAGATTGAACCAGGAGATAAAGCTGAAATTTGAACTGAGACTGGTATTTGTCATCTTGCCTCAGGAATCATGTAATTCAGCTGCTTTCTAAAGACTTGAGTTACTAGCTCTAGAAATTTAAAAAAAAACCAACCTCATTTTGTATTCAATCCTGTCCTAACATCTAACCGGAAGTGCAGATCTCATCCTTCCCTAAACAGGTAGAGAAATTAAATCCCTCTCAGAGAAATTATTAAGGGTGGTCAAATATTAGAGTTTTATTTTCATCCTAAGTAGCTACAGAAAAGCCGTGCAATACTTTATTTTTTAATCTTAAAAGTTATGATCTAGTTTTTGTAGTTACTTCTGCTATAAAGTAGTTCACCAGAGAGCCTGCTAGAATATAGGGTCCATGTTCTCCTTTCCATGGCACAGATCCCTATCCTTTTGCAGAACACCAATTCATTTACTTTAAAGGTAAATTACTCCAGTACTTGTAACACACAGCCTCTCCTTTTTATGACTAATAGACACAATTCAACTATTCAAATAATCAGTGCACACACCACTTCAAAATACTGTTCTCATTGTGCCGGGGTCTATATAGACAAGGGGAAAAGAGACAGGTTATTTCCCAGAAAAGCTCATAGATTTGATTTACTTAAAATTTCTATGAATGAGGGGAGAATTGATTAAGGTGAAAGAGAGGGAAGACCAGAGAAAAAACAGTTTGCTGAATAAATTCATATAAATAGTAGAGTGTCGGGCAGGGCTTGGCCTGTAGGCAGATTTATATACATAAATTTAAAACTTTCCTGGAAAGGAATGCTCCATTGCTGTAATACAGGGGATAGGTTGCCTAATTACTGCAAAATTATCATTTAGTCATGAAGCTAATAGGGTATTTTTCAGAAAAAGTCAGACGTTAAGCTTTCCCCAAGAAAAAAACTTTTAACTGAGAAAATGAGAACAGCAATAAAATGGATTTGCAAGTGCTCCTCTGGTTCTTCTCCCCCAGCCCAGCCTCCCTGGACACTCAACAATGAGCCAGCAAAGCCCTCTCAATTCATGGAAAGCTCCAGAGGAAAAAGGGGAGAAAAAGAGACCCTTTCCCATGTGTCCCATTTCCCCAGAGCAGAGTAGTGAAGGTGCAGCAAAAGCTCAGGTTCATGTCCCAACTGGACCATCCAGAAGCCTCCATTGCAGGGACCAGGCCACTGCACCAGGCTGGTTGTTTTTTGCACCAACTGGTGCAGCAAATGATCAACTCTTCAACCATCATCTCTTGTCTGAGATGTGGCAAATCATAGCTTACCCAATGTAGATCAGCTGGAAAAGGAGCTGCTACAAGTCAGTTAGGAGGGAACTTGCTCCAGGTTATTAATTGGACCAACAGAGGACCCACCTCTGAGACATCAGTGATGGGAACTACCCATTGACCTGGTGAAGTCTGGGCAATTAGCCTGTAAGCACCATATATGAAGCGAAGTGGGGCAAACACTTCAGACTTCCAACAGCCAGAGCAGGTCCAGAGCAGGCCACAAAGATGATCCAAGGGCTGGAGCACCTCTGCTACGAAGACAGGCTGAGAGAGTTGGGGTTGTTCAGCCTGGAGAAAAGAAGGCTGTGGGGGGACCTTATAGTGACCTTCCAGGACCTGAAAGGTGCCTATAAGAAAGCCACGGAAGAGCTGTTCACTAGGGCATGGAGCGATAGGATGAGAGGGAATGGTTTTAAACTAGAAAAGGGTAAATTTAGGTTGGATATGAGGAAAAAGTTCTTCACTATGAGGGTGGTAGTTCAGTCGCACAGGTTGCCCAGAGAGGTGGTGGAGGCCCCATCCCTGGAGATATTCAAGGTCAGGCTTGATGGGGCTGTGAGCAACCTGATCTGGTACCAATGTCCCTGCTGAGTGCAGGGATTGGACTGGATGAGCTTTAAAGGTCCCTTCCAACCCAACACATTCTGTGATTCTATGAAATAGCCACCAGGATGGCCTTCAGGCTCTGTGCTTTGGGCTGGCTCCCCTCTACAACCCTCTACTTGCTGTGCCTCAGGCAAGGCATCAGTCAGGGCTTGTGGGAGGATTTGCCCTCTGAGGATCTTGCTTTGCTCTCAGGATGGAAGAGTGGGTGAGGGTGGCACCTCAAAAGCTCTTGTAGGTTGAATCAGTGAATTTCCACCCAGCTCTGATAATTTTAAAGGAAAGCAGTTGTCTTTAGTCAGGCCAACTGCTTTGCGTATTACATGAGCTGCTACATTTTGCAAACCATTCATCTAACTTTAGACATGCATTTTATGTCTTTAGAGGGACCAAAGCCAGTATGCACATGAAAAAAACCCTTGATATCAGTGCCAAGCAATGTTCCTCAGGAGATCTAACCCTTATTCCTCAGCCAGGCACAAATTCAGCAGGCACTTTTTGGAAACTGAACCCTCCCTTTGTCTCCATGAGCACAGGTGATACAATACGCACTCCTAGTAGTAGGACACCTTCACTATAGCTTCACAGCTGTGTATTCCCCACCTAACTTACTATTCACAGGATGGCTGGATCTTGTCGTCTTTAACTTTGTATCAAAAACACATTTTAAAAGGTCTATTCTCGTCTTATTTGTACAGTATATTGAGGTATCTTTTTAATAATTTTAGTCTTAATTTTTGGAACTTGTAAATAAACTTGCAAATCTGCCTCTCAGTCTTGTTTACAGAATAAGACTTAGCAATAAACGTGAATTAAAAGTTAGGAGAGGGAGATGTATTTTGTATTCTGGCAAGGAAATTTCCCTTCAGTTTTCTAAAGCACACACCAGTCTCCTTGAAATGTCCCTGCATCTGATACCGCAGCACTCTGTGTTTCTTTGCTTCTTGATAAAGCCATGTCTTAGGTAATGTCAGCTCCACAAGGCTACACATATAAAAAGCTCATTGGAATAAGTCTTCCTTGGGTGATCACCTTCAGATGAGAGTCCTGTAAATTTAGCAGCCACATGCCAGAGAAGGCTTTCAATGTAGAGCTGCACTTTGCTGTTTGCCAGAGATCTGAACTTGGATAAAAACGCTTTTGGAATCCTTTCTTGGCTCACACAACAAAACATTGCTCCATCTTTCTTATGCTCCATGATCAGCATCAGTTTTGTGCCACAAACTTCACTGTATATAGTGTAATGGCAGATATGTTGTTCACAGAAAGGAAGAGAGATTAATGCTTTTTTTTCAGTTACTTGTGGAATATCAGAATTCAGATGCAGGAGAGAAGAAGACAGCAGGGATGCAATATGTGTAGGAAAACAAAGTTATTCTCAAAAAAAGAAAGAGACCTTTGAGATCTGAAATACAGAAAGGTACAGGAATGACAAGTGGGAGGAAGAGTTTGTCTTGATAAAATCAGTCACTGGAAAATATCTCCATTTAGAAGTGAAGCTGAGGTGAGAAAGGGAACATTTAGCTTTTATTTTATTTTAGATTTTATTTTCTTCACATATTTCAGCACCATTGCTTGTGCATACAACATTCCTCAGGGACCAGGCTCCTCCTTGGACAAAAAGTTATTCATTCTCTTCCTTTTCTCCAAATTTGCCTGTACCATCCCAACATGAATCACAAGCCATTTCCTTCCTCCTGCTTTAGTATCAAGATGTGCTTTCCAATCTACTGTAACTCCTCTTCTTCCTCATGCATTATGTTAGCAACATACCTGTATTGCAGAATAACTTCATACATTAATATGGCCAGTGGGGCTGAGCCATATATTCAAATAGAGCAGGAGAAACTCATGGATTTAAGTCCAGAAGTATATATTAACTACTCCAGTATTCCTCAAAGCCCTTCTTTGCATTATATTCACAGTGGAGGGAAGAGAAAGCGACGCCAGGCGTGTTTAGATACAAATAAAGGGAATTTATTAACACCAAGGACTCAACTTCAATGCAATTAATATTTCAGTAATTTGATGAGAATGGCTTTTTGGTTCTTCAAGAAGCTCTAGTGACTTTGAGAACATGGCCTTCTGTGTTCAAAAAGGATGCCTCAGAAAGACCACATAAGTTTTGTTCAGCTTTCCCATATATAGGAACATCTTGGTCCAGTTATCCCTAGAGTCTGTTTAAGGACATTTTTTTAGATAGGAAAGAGGCAATTATTCCCTCTTTCTGTGATTTGAGGACAGCATACAACAATAACAGAAACAAGTTTTGTCTAGTGACTGCAAGGGAAGTAGTTGATATTAATCTTAGTGACACCTGGATTATCTTCAGGCTGTATTGACATTTTTCTCAGTCTCTGTGTACTCCAAATACGCTGGCTGTTTGATTTTCTTAACTGGATTCCCATAGAAAACAGGAGCTGAAATATTTTACAGCACCGGAAATGTTTTATTATCTATCCATGGATAAAATTAAATATCAGAAATGTGTATTTTTACTACAGTTACAAAAATGCTGAATAAGGAACAGTAAATCCAGGATAGTGGCATCATGATCTTGTCTGCCTCTCTGATAGTGCCAGGTAAGAGCTGGAGTATCCGAAAAACCTTTGAATGACTGAAAAATAAGGGCACCCCCCCTCTAAGTGACACAACAGCCATTTCAAAGGGATCTGACAACACTGATGCTTTATCCCATTTATCCCAATGCATTTATTCCTTATTCCTCACTGAGAAGTGAGTATGACTGCATCTCGCATCCCAAGGGCATTGCTCACACTGTCAATGAGACATCATCCCCACCATCTAGGACAGCCCACTGCCATGGGGAATATTTGAAAGTATTTGAAAATATTTGTAAATATTTTCAAACAGTAACTTCTCGTTGACATCAAGCTGCTTTCTTGTATCATTGCTTGTGATAAATTTATAGCCATTGGTAATTTCAACAGTTGTCTTGACAGTTGTGAGCATGAGGAAGAACACAATTTAGCTT